TTTCAGATGGCATTGATATTCAAACATCTTGTACAACATCAGAACAAGAAAGGAAACAATCTGTGGCACATGAATGTGTGGCTGTTTCTGAAGAGGTGAAGCTTGTTTCGACTTGTGAGCAGAAAGTGACTTTTTGTGATGAAGAATTAACAAACATTGCTGCTGGTCAGGACAGGTATAACAAGTTTTTCTGCATTGTAAACTTTTACATCTTAAATCCAACCATATAGTCAGGACATCTTATGCTTGAGCATCCTTGTTGTTATCTTTTCTATCTTTTTTAATTTAATTTAAATCATCTGATTTTAGCTATTATTTGCAACCTAGTCCTGTCAAATTTAAAAATTTTGCTCCTTCTAAATCTGCTATTGATGATGCTAGAAAAATCCAGGCATCAAAAACCCAGCTGGAACGTTCATATTAATAGTTTGGTGTCTATTAATATGTGATACTTTTCCAAAACACACGCCATTTTTACAATTATCATATTACATGGAAGACCAATTCAAATAGTGTATCTTAGCATGTATTGTTTTATATTTGTGTTTTTCCCCTTATTGTTTTGTTTGTTTTGATAAGCTCTGATTGTATTGTTTTATATTTCTGTTGGTGGTAAAGGAAATAACACTCAAATTATTTTTGAAATTTATTATGTTGTATTCTTATCTGTAGAGTCATAGCTGTGTTTCCACCACCACCGGCAGTGGGCAAGATACAGATTTTGAAGATGGATATTGAAACTTTGGATGATGGGAGAGAGTTCAATGATTCTGTGGTGGATTTGTTTTTAATGTAAGAATAACTGGAAGCTCAAGGCTACTGGATACATCATCCTGATTTCTACACTGTTACTTAAAAAAATCAGTGCATTATGGCATCATTTCTAAAACCGACCTTTATTTGCGATTAACAAGACAGTGACTGGCTTTCTGTTTACAGTGGAACCTCGCTGTTGCTAAGTGCCAATGGACTGGCGAAATTTGTTCGCTGTAACGAGGTCTTGTTATATTAGGTTCTTTCACATATACCGTAAAAATTCAGGAGATAAGCCCCTCCAAAAATTGAAAAATGTAAGCCCTGGGGCTTATTTTCGGAATTTTACGGTATTTTAATTTTATCGATGTAAAGAAAATTGTTTGTTATATCAAGGTTCCACTACAGTACTTGAAAGAGAGAGTGAAGACTGGAGGAGTCTCTGTTTTACCATGGTAAATGTGTACCATATCCTCATATTTCTTAAAGAGTAATTATTCAGCTTTAAAATTCTATGGGCTTGGTCACAGCTCACCAGTTCATTCACTGCAAAGTCAGAGCTTCGTGGCTAATAAATATTTTCCCATGCATTATTTCATTAGTTCTTTTGTGTTTTAGTATCACAATCTTGTTTCACCTTCTCTGTGGTCCTGAGGACCGGCATGCGAGTGCTTCAACATTTACAAGAAATGTGGAAATTTTCCACAAGATGTTTCTCTTCATACCTGTCTGTAGAAGGTATTTTCTACAATTTATTAATGTTTAAAGTTAGTGGGGGATGCGGGGATGCTCAGTTGTTGTTTCTCTATTCTGTTAGTTAGGCAATTTAATCTAGGAAAGTCACTAAATTATACATATGTAAGTGTGAATGTAATAATTTTCAGGTGAGGACAAGACTTCCATGAGTTTGACAGGAATGTACAAATGATGTTTGTTCTGGGTACTCAGTAAATTATTGTGTTTAAAGTTTTAGCCAGTTACACTCCCTTTCTCCTCTTTGATTTTTATTAAACTTTACAGTCAAACCCCGCTTCTCATTATTACTCTTCACCCCGTCAATATGGACACTTTTTATAGCCCTCTCAATGCCTGTATTAGCAGGGTTAGTTTGACCGTGTTATGATCTCTTTTCGTTTTAGCGGACACTGGTTCTTGGCACTGATCTATAACCTACCCTTTTTGGTTGGAAAAGCACGAATGTACAAAAATTCGCGGAGGTGTGTAGTTGAATTGCCTGTTGATGATTAGATGCCTGATAACAGAAACTTCACTTGACCTCTTATAAGGGTTTACATTTACAGTTTATCCTTAATAATATTTTGTAATATACATCAACACTGTTTCATTATAAGGGGCTCAGTCCTAAAGCTGTTAACCGAATGGAGCGTCAGAAAAAACAGTCTGTCCTAAATTTGCAGTTTCGAAGTATTGTCTTTATTTGTCGTTGATATTCGCAGGGCTCCAATCATAATGATCGACTCAATCGTCTATGGCTCGGAGGATGGGTTTGACGGCTGTCCTTCGTCAAGAGAACGAGAGGCAGACCTGATTCGAAGGTAACTTATTAAATTGCAGTGATAGTTGTGAAACGTTTCCTCTACCCGTTTTGTTTCCAATACAATTTTTATTGCGGCTGCATTTTTTAAGGCTAAACCTTCTATTTTGATTTGTTCGCAGTTTCGTAAGATGCGAGTGGTTGGCTAAGGGAGAGAGTTCTGTTCCTGACTTCACCCCTGAATCAATGCCCCTATACTACCCCAAGGTAAGACGTTAATCCAGTGATCAGAACACCTCTATCGCGCAAGTATTTTTCTAGTTCTTTGTTGTGCATTGATGAAAGGAATTGCTCGTGAACGAATTTGAGATGTGCCTTTTTAAATTGAAGACTACGCTGTTGAACCAACAGGGGTAAAGATTTTTTTGTCACAATTGTGAGGTAAAAAGCGGACGATGATGATGGTTTTAGGTAGCTATCTTTTCACTCAAAGTGACATCAATAAAAATGCTTGGTCCCGCAGATGCCGCAACAAGAAAATGGGTACGACTGTGGAGTATTTGTCATGCTGTTTTTTGAGACTTTCTTAAATCGAAAGGTAAGTCTAACTTTCTTTGTATCTAACACTACGAAACTGTTGACTGAGGAATACATTATCTTTCACCCACAAGCAGAATTGCCCAAAGCTGATTTGCTGAAACAAAGCGATTTCATTTCCTTACTCTTTTAGACATTTTGGAAACCAGCACTTGTTTGTTTTTTTAGTGACTTACGTTGAAGAAAAAAAAACCGTTCAATTGATTGCACAGGGAAGTAAGATTTTAAAATTAAAAAGAATGTTCCCTAATAAATTTTTGCCCCATAGTGGGATCAATCATGATGAGCATCATTATTTTTGCTTGGGTCCAATGATGAACAGTCTTACTTCTCTTCTGGTTTGACTAAAACCTTAACAGTTACTTGTTATTTCTCTTTTAGTGTCCTGTGAGTGACCTACTTTCAGACCAAATCCTACTGTGGTATAACCAAAGTGCAGCTTTGCCGATGCGGGAAAGAATGACAAATATCATTCTAGGATTCGGAAATATTCTTAGTTCCGATTAGGTTGCTTAAATGTAAATAGTTCAGGGTGAATCTTCTTTTTAATTTCTGAAGCATAATGACATTATAAGAGACGCTCTTTGCTAATGGAAGACTGCGACGCTTTACGACGGTTTCGCTCCTTGTCAAATTCGCTACGTTCGAGCGGTTCGCTACCTACAATTCGTGTCGCTACTTATTAGCAAAGTCCTGCCCTAGGGGCAAGCTTTAAAGAATGAGAAATACACTAAAAGACTTTTGTTCTAAATCGACCAAGTGGTTTACAGAAAGTAATCTTTAGCGAAGTTGTTGCGAACCAGGCGGTAGCGAATTCAACAAGTAGCGAAACCGGTTGTTACCGTTGCGACGAGTTGCAAACAGGCAGCGTGCTTTGCTGACTAATATTCCAAGATTTAAGTTATTTTTTCTTGTCGATTTGGTTGTTTCGATATAAGTTGTTTTCATACAAACTTAAGCAGTGAAAGTCAAACTACACAACAATTTCAACTAAGTAGTACACTACGCGAAACCAATAGCTCGACTTATACCGTAACAACCGGTGAGCATTTTGTAATGTACATTTTTTTTAACATAAACGTAAGGCATCACGGTCCTTGATTTAGGAACTTGGAGCGAACAAATTTATCAATCGAACGCAGTACATTCAGAATACCCGGCCACATGTCGAAACGCTTTTAGAACGAAGCATACACAAAGAATTGCCTTTTGTTATTCAATGAGATGCAAACGAGTGGCAGGGTGTTCAGTAATCTAGCCGAATTATAAGAGCAGAGTAAAAATTTCCAGTTATTATTCAATATTTATTGATCATAAACGTCGAGTATGCATCCTTGCTTTAGGAACCTTAATGGCAAAGAAGAATAGAGTGTAACTGTGTACAATAAATCCCAATAACAAAGCGAGGATCTTAGAGTCCCTGTATAAATACAACGTAACAATGATTTTATAGAAATCAGAAATTCAAACGCAAAGCGAACGCAAAATCTCTTTCAAATACCTTGCACCTACTTGTTCAGCTTTTGAAATATTGAAAAGAATATGTAACTAGATATGTGAAGTCTTCCTCTAAAAAAATACAATTATTATTAAATATTTATTGATCATAAACGTCTATGCGTCCTTGCTCTAGGAACGTTAATAGTAAATAACAACGGCATGTAACAGTGTACAGTATACCCTTGTAACGAAGCGATGGATCTTAAGAGTCCCTGTATGTATACCACGCAACGATGATTAAAGAAATTTGAAATTCAAACGCAAAACGAACGCAACATCTCTTTCAAATGCGTTGCACTTATTTGTTCAGCCTTTGGAAGATTGAAATGAATGTAACTATAATGAAGTATTCCTCACAAAAAAGCGAAAAGTAAGTTTGCCGTACTCTGAACAACTTGAGTAGAGACTCGGCCACCATATCAGTTCTAATTCCCTTGTACAGCGTCCTTCACCTGGACCAATATCTAGGTACGAGCGGCTTGTCGGTCTTGAGTCCTGCTTTCTGGCTCTCGCTTTTGCATAAGCTAGTGCTTCTTCTGCTGACATTTCGGAGATATCAGGCACTTCATCGCTATTTCTGAATAAGGCTTTTGGCCGAAATTGCAGCAGGTCTTGCTCTTCTAACACTAGCTTCAAGGTTTCCTCATTGAAAATTTTATATGAAAAGCGCCGCTATTCTCTTGAAAATCGGCTGACGGATATGGGGAACATCGCGTACGCTGTCTACCATAGGGTTTCCCAAACGACAGAATAAATGAGCGAAATACTTCTGTGGCACTTGAAGGCAATCAACATGGCACCGTTTTCCTTTCGATGAAAATAAAGTTAGGTGTAAGTAAGTGTGTAAGTCCAAGCACACCAAAATAAAGAACACATTGCGGGTTAGAGCATTTACCTGGGTGATCCGGTACCAGTGATCCGTTGATTCGCTCCACAAGAACCCCAAGCCATTTGAGATAATCTTCCATTTCTTCGTCAATAAGTGCTGCTGCTTTTGGCTGTTCACATGGACTGTTTGATTTGTCCAAAAATTGCGCGATCTCGAGATTCCTTTCCTGGTGTTTCAATCCGAAATGTTTTTTCAGTGAAACACCTGTTTTAAACTTCTTTGTACACAGTTGACAGGGAGCTGAAAAAGGCATTTTTTTCTCGCAAGGTCAAAACAGTTGTCTAGTAAATTAGCAATGATCGACTTTCTCTGCTAATGCGTGGCGTGCCGAAAGTCGGCAGTCGGAAGTCAATGAACTTTCTCACTTCTACGAGTTTTCGTTACTTATACAATTTGAAACAATGCTCTCAATCAATGACGCGTGACTCGCAAGCTTGAAAAATTCCGCTATTGTCGCAAACAATAGGTCCTTTTTATTAGCAAATGTGAGAAGAAACGAAGTCTCATGTGCCAACCTTGTTTTCAAAGAGAACACCGATTGACAACGAATCCCATAACAACTTGATTTACTGTGAACTGAGCCGGTAGACTCTTACCATTAAGTTATTGCATCGGATCTCAGCATTACAAGATGTCAAAATTTAGAAAACATACTGTCGAGGAAATGCGAAGAAGATCAAAAATGAGGAAACAAAGGAAGAAGTACAAACGGAACAGCGTGAAAGTTATTGGTCACCCATCTTCAACTGACACACCAGAGGAAGTCAGCGAAGGAACAGTGAATTTTAAAAGGGGGGAAGTCTGCGAAGGAACAGCGAATTTTAAAAGAGAGGAAGTCAGCGAAGGAACAGCGAATTTTAAAAGGGAATGTGTTGGTAAAGAAGAAGGAAGTATAAACTATATCGAGGAAGATAAGTCGAC